TTATTCTCCTTACCAATGAGGTTCTCGATGGGGACTTTGACATCATCAAAGGAGATGAAAGTGGTGCCAGAGGACCAAACACGTGAGCATTTCATCCTTTCTAGTAGTGACACCAGGCATGGTCTTCTCGATGAGTAGTAGACTGATACCGTCCATACCGGGGCCTCCAGTGCGGACAGCCACCGTGAAGTAGTCAGCCCAAATACCGTTGGTGATCCACTTCTTCTCACCATTGACGATGTAGTACTTCCCACAAGAGGACTTCTTAGCGCTGCATCGGATATTGGCAACATCAGAGCCAGCAGTCGGCTCGGTGATGGCCAGGCAGATGATCTTCTCACCAGACAGACACTCCGGCACGATGCGGTCCCTCATAGCCTTTGGGCCAAACCTCAACACAGGGGGAAGGCCGATGGTCAAACCGCCGACCAGACCCCAGGCCAGTCCACCGCTACCAGCACGTGCGAGCTCATCGCTGAGGACCAACTCATGGAAGGTGTCAAGTGGCACTCCCTTGAGCACATCTGGTGGGGACTGGTACTCGACAGGATAAGGGTGGCCCATGGCAAGGACGTTGATACCGCTCTGGCCGAGCATCTTGTGGACTTCACGAGGAATCTCGAGGTTCTCATCCCACTCGTGGACGTGAGGCATGAGCTTCTCCTCGACTAGAGTGCGCATGAATGCTCTAAGACGTTTGTGGGAGTCGTCGTAGTAGGGAGAGTTGTAAGACTGGTACCAGTTGGGATCACCAAAGGGAGAGGCATCACCGAAGACCTCAGTGTTCACACCCATACGCTTCGCTTGTTGAATCATTGACATTATAAAGATGAACAGATAGACCTACGAGGGGGCTCAACGAATAGTGTGAGGTTTTCTTAGAATTACACCATCTAGAACAAGGTTGCTTCAAAGTGATTTTAAGGCGCGCGCTAAAATTTCGTATCACGCGCGAATTCGATAAACCGCGGTATTGTGCGGGACGCGGGAATTTTCGGTGACGGAACTTGGTAGTTTCATTTTCCGGTAGAAGTCTTGGACAACCATAAAGGGTGTGCGGAGGAGCATTGCGATTGGCTTCGATCATTCGTCCCGGTCATTCTGTCTTAAGTAGTATTTGGGTTTTTGATGTTGTTATTCCCAACAGGCAAATTCCAGGCGGAGGCGCTCTCGAAGACGATACGCCATATAGTGCAGACGCTTACCCTTTCTATTAACGAAATACTAGTGGATGCTACTAATAGGGAGAGGGTCAGTGCTCGACTGCTATTGGGTGATAACTCGGTGGGACATATTCTGCCTTTCAGACCGCACAATCTCTGTAGAAGGGAAGTCCTGCAGCGTGGAGCATCCGGCTGGTGCTGAGCTCGTTGAGCTCTCTGGAATGGCTGCGATTGAAATTACGTGAGAATTCGGGCGTGGGTGGTAATGTTTCAGCTCGTTGGGTGCAGTAAATTTGGTGTAGCCGTTAAGCCTCGTATAATGTAGTTTACGGAATCATCCAG